CTGGGTGCTTGCTTTGGAGCAACTATTTGTTAAAACTCTTAGCATTTGGATAGCACACTGTAAAATTAACAAATCCCTCTCCCTTGGGATCTGAGATTTAAACTTGCATTCCTCTGACCAGGAAAATAGAGGTGGGGAAAGGAATTAATTTGCTCTGAGAAAATAAAGGCAGCAGCCTTATAAAAAGGTTCAGAAGGCAAAAATCTTTTAGTTCCTGGTCCTGTGGTTTTCTTAAGCAATGTTAGGAATTTGGGACAGCACAAATCAAATAGCAAATTCTGGGTGCCCTAGGGTATTGAAAAACGCTTCTGGGGAAGGCTGCTAATTGGATTTACGGGTCAGTGCTTCACCATGTGTTGTTTTCTAGCTGTTCTGCCTTAAACTGCTCTGCCATACCAGCCTGTAGTGAAATCCTGTGATGAACACTGATGCTAAGAGAAATCTCTGCTGCTCTGCAAAGAGGCTAACAAAAAGTTCAAAACCCTCTTCCCCTTTGTCCCAAAAGCCCCCAAACAAAAAAAGGACCTACTAGGGTCAATGACCCCAAATCAACTGTGGAATCACCAGCCTGTGAGCAGAAAAATACAGACTGAGAATGGTGGGGGTGGCAAGGTGGTGGGAGAGGTCTGCTCTTACACTTAAGCGTAATTCAGAAGAGACTCTGGGAAAGGCAGAGGATTGCTGCTGCCTCCTTGTGAGGATACAAACAGGCTTATGGCCTCTCTGCTCTGTATTTCAAACAGATGTCTTGGCTTTACAAGTGGAGTGCTCTACATCTGGCAGCTGCTCGGTGGCTCCAGGTTAAATTCCTCACCTTTCCCGGCTCCCAGTCTGTCAAAGGAGGAAAAAAGGAGATAACTGATGCAGTGTTAGAATGCAACAAGCAGTGAGTGAATATTGTGAAATAAGGGGAGGTTCTGGGGTGTGGATATTTAAAGTGGAAAGTATGGCTCGTAATGGCAGAAACTGCCATTCAAAATGTGCATCTCGATGTGGTCCTTCTGCAGGCATGTTTGGGGAGCAGTGCTGGCAGCTGGGGCTTTTCTTCCTCTTTCATGGTAAGGCCAGCGCAGACAGAAATATCTGCTGGGGTGCCCAAGGCCTTGCTCCCATGCACCCTGCAGTCCAGAATTAATTACATTCAATTGCTTTTTGTGAGAAAAGCTGTGGCAGAAAGTACCTGATCTGTAACTTTATGCCAGATGCTAAAATTCTGATCCATAAAATGCTGTTGATCTTGGGCATATGGAAAAGCGACATTTAAAACAGCTTGTAGCTGCCCAGTTAGTGGGGAAACACGATGCTTGTTTATCTACTTGCACAGGATGACTGTAACTCTGCCAAAGCAGTTAAAGGATGTCGCTTTTGTCATGGGTACTGTCCTGTGGTAAAGCTGGGTGACTGTAACCTTGCTGCAGGTGTCAAATGCTTCTTCATCCAGTTCAACCTACGGGTGTTGCAAGGTGGGCTGTGACAGAGATCACTGGACAAACCCTGTACGCTCTCGACTGTGTAAGGGAACTGACAGGGTTTTTCTTTGTCTACTTCCCAGAAAATAATCCTTCTCTACAGACGTTGCCGGTGAAGGCCAGCGGGTACCATGGTGACCAGTGAGGATGGCGAAGGCCCAGTGCTGTGGTGCCAGGGCCAGGCGTGGGCCTCAGCGGTGCCTCAGGCAGGGAGGAGGAGGTGGGAGCTCGACCCCCGCCACCGTGTGGGCT